TAGCGCTGGCAAGTGTGTGGAGAAATAAACACTCTGATACAGATAAACTCCTGGGAGGGTCAGGTAGACATCTTTGAACTCTCAGGAGAAATAATTTGGCAACATCTATCAAAATGTTAATGCCCATAACCTTTGACCTAACAATTCCACTCTTAGGATCTTACCTTACCTGTTTTCAAAGGTATACAGTACATACGAGGATGTTCATTGCAACATTTTTTTGTTCTAGCAGACAAAAAATCTAAATGTTCACCATCAAAGATCTGACGAATTATGGTTCACCCTTACAATAGCATAATGTGCATAATGTACATAATGTACAAGCCTAGAAAAGAATGAGGGTAGTGTGGTCATGTGAAAAGATCTCAAAGATATACTGAAAGTAAAACACCAAGTTTCAAAAGAATAATGGGTCATAGGATCCCAAGTATAGGTAGGCTGCATGCACACACATGCATCTGCATAGAAATGTTTGGAAATAGTACACAAGAAAATGTTCATCTTGAATACAAATAAAGAAGGGACACTAAGAAACTGTGTATAGGAGGGTGCTTTTGCTCTTTAGTATAGACTACTCAGACTTGTTCCAATTTGTTACCACAAACGTGTATTTTTTTTACATTAAAAACAAGCCAGTTAAAAGTCTGGTCCCTGGCCCTACCGTCACGTCACCTCTCTCCCTGTGTGGTGGCAGTAGGAGCTCACGGGCCCATCCCTGGTCAGCAGGCCACACCTGACACCACATGACTCTGGCTCTTTTGGTAGCTGTTGTTTAACAGGAGGGAAGGCAAACAAAGGCATATGCTTTTCTTTTTCTTTATTTCTGTATTGTTTGAACCTTCTGTGTGCCCATATTTGTTACCAGAGGTTACAGAAGCCATGTATGGTTTCTTCCTGATACTTTTCTTTTCTTTCTTTCTTTTTTTTTAAAGATTTTATTTATTTATTTGACAGAGAGAGACAGCCAGAGAGGGAACACAAGCAGGGGGAGTGGGAGAGGGAGGAGGAGGCTTCCTGCTGAGCAGGGAGCCCGATGCGGGGCTCGATCCCAGGACCCTGGGATCATAACCTGAGCCGAAGGCAGATACTTAACAACTGAGCCACCCAGGCGCCCCTACTTTTCTGTTTTAAAGAAAAGTCAACACATGCTATTTTTAAAACTAGAAAAAAAGCTAATTAATTTGAAAAGTCCAATTTTTAAGGTATACATTTCAAAAGCTGCTCACTAACTACAGGACACAGCAAAACTTCCTAAGCATGGTCTCTAGGTCTCCCCGATCTTTGGGAGATGATCTTTGCCAGTCCGCCTTCCCTGCATCACCTGCCAGCATGTGGCCACCTCCCCAGCTTCGGCCCTTCTGGCTGCACCAAGCAACTTGCAGCAGTTTGTGGGCTATGCGTTCACAGAAACAAAGAGGCTTTCAGTACAGGATACTAAAACATATTAAAACGCTACTACGGTAAAAAATACAATGCGTTACTAGCTTAAGAATAGTCAGATCATGGGGTGCCTGGTGGCTCAGTCATTAAGTGTCTGCCTTCGGCTCAGGTCCCAGGGTCCTGGGATCAAGCCCCCCATCTGACTCCCTGCTCCATGGGAAGCCCTCTTCTCCCTCTCCCACTCCCCCTGCTTGTGTTCCTTCTCTCGCTTTGTCTCTCTCTGTCAAATAAATAAATAAAATCTTTAAAAAAAGAAAAAAAAAATAGATCAGTGGAAAAAATGAAAATCCCACTACATGATAAAGGTAGCCATTCAAATTAGTAAAGAAAGACAGAAGTAAATAGTTCTGGCTCAAATGGTTATCTTTTTGGGGGGGGGTAATTTCTTCCTTATATCATCTATTAAAGTAAATTCCATATGGATTAAAGATTTAAAGGTAAAATTAAAACAATAAAAACCAAACAAGACGACCAATAGAAAAAAGTTAAGGTGAGTATTAATTTGGCTCCCTTAGTGGGAAAAGCTTCTTTTCACTTCAGAGCTTCAAAGCACTTCGAAAAGGCAGAGTGAATGAAAGGAAAACTTGATAAATTGATTTGACTATACAAATATGTAAATTTTAAACTAAGAAACACTTAGGTTTAAAAACCAAAAAACAAACTATGGAAAATATTTACAAAAGATGAATCCTGAATGGCCTGTGTCTTAACAGTGATGTCCAAAGCTATATTCCTGCTTTCCCCTAAAACCTGTTCCACCCGAGGCTGTCCCTGTCACAGCTGGTGGAGCCGCCCCCGCCCCCCTACAGTTTAGGCCAAAAACGTGGAGTCACCCATGATCCCCCCAACCCCTGTCCAGGTCCAAGCCAGCATGAGACGCAGTTGGCTCTATCTCCTAACACACCCAGCGGGGCACCTCTCTGGCCCCACTTGCTACCTCCTCCACCACCAGGTCTGCCCTGGTGACTGCAAGACCCTCCTGCTGGTCTCTCTAGTTCCCCTAACCTTCCAAGGACCATTCTAAAGCAACGAGAGCTGATACTTCCACAGCATCCAGACCACCCCACCCCACTGCTCTGCTCCCCAGTTTACTCAGAGTAAAGGCCCCATCCTTATGGCCCTTGGACCCCCGACCTGCTGTGTGCCATTCCTCCTCCCTCGCCGGACTCCTCAAACAGGAGAGACACACTTCCACTTTTGGTCCTTTGCATCCTCTTCCTTTAGCCTAGAGCTCTGGGGGGAATCCCCGAGGACTGCATACCTAATACCCTCACCTCTTCCAATGAAGCTCAAATGAAGCACACCCTGACTACCGATTTAAAATTGCCCCCTGCCCACATCCCCACAAACTCTGATCCCCTTCACCCCTACAGCGATTGTCATCTTCTAACACGTGACGTCATTTATTATCTGCTGTGTTTATGTGTACCGTTTATTAGCTCTCACCCCTACTGGAATGTATGCTCCCTGAGGTCAAGGATCTTTGTGTTGTCGTCTGATAGATCCTACATGCCTAGAACAGGGAGGGCCTGGTGCGTAGTAAGCATGCCATAGATCTGTGTTCAACGAATGAGAGAAGCATATAAAAAATGTTCAATGTCATGTGTAGAGTATAATGTGTATTTAAATCCTGAGATACTATTTCTCATTGGTCAAATCTGCAAACAAATACAAATGTTAATGCTAATACCCAGGACTGGCAAGGGTATAACGATAAGAACTGCCAGTAGACTCAGATGAGCAGAACCTTCCAACAGGACCTTAGTATAGATTTCAACCTAGACAACCAACTTTAAAAAATGTAACCGGGGGGCGCCCTGGGTGGCTCAGTTGGTTAAGCGACTGCCTTCGGCTCAGGTCATGATCCTGGAGTCCCGGGATCGAGTCCCGCATCAGGCTCCCTGCTCAGCAGGGAGTCTGCTTCTCTCTCTGACCCTCCCCCCTCTCATGTGCTCTCTCTCATTCTCTCTCTCAAATAAATAAATAAAATCTTAAAAAAAAAAAAAAATGTAACCGGGGCCCCTGGCTGGCTCAGTTGGTGGAGTGTGTGACTCTTGATCTCGGGGTTGTGGGTTTGAGCCCCATGTTGGGTGTAGAGATGACTTACATAAATAAAACTTTAAAAAAATAAATAAAACTAAAAATGTCACAGAGGCTCATCTTCCCCCATGACATTTATAACTTATGACAGTGAAAAGCTGGAAATGACCTACATGTCCAGCCGCAGGGATGGGACACTACGTGAAGTACGACACTGCCATATAATGGGATTGAAGTCACTAACGCTTGAGGCGTGCAGAATAATGACTGCAAGAACGCAAGGTTCAGTATTAAGGAAAAAAGATTAGAAAACTTTGGGTGAGCTAGAGCCCATTTCTGTAAAACACATGTAGCCAAGCACTGAAAAAAATATGGAACGTTAACAAGTGTTATTACGAAGTGACACAATTACAGGTAATTTTAATGTCATTTTTGCAGAGTTCTCGATTTCTAAAATTTTTATAATACATACTATTTTGTAAGCATATTTTTAAGTCACTAAAAAAACTTATTTTTTTTTTAAGTAATCTCTATGCCAAACATGGGGCTCAAACTCACAACCCCAAGATCAAGAGTCACATGCTCTACCAACTGAGCCAGCCCACTAAAAACAATTTTAATACACAACCTTACATTTGTGACAAAATTATACAGAACTTAATACATGCACATGAGTACAAAACTGGGGAAATCAGAATAAGATCAACAGACTGGATCAACGTCAGTTCTGGTTGTAGTATTGTACTAGTTATGCAAAAATGTTACTATTGGGGGAAACTGGCTAGTGTGCCAAGACTCTCTTTGCATTATTTCTAAAAATTGCATGTGAACCTACAATTATTCCATTTTTATAGAAAAATGTATATTTCCACAAAGAAATTTTATTATACTTTCTAATATTTTAGTAAATGAAACACTAAAGTCATTCCCATTAAACTCAGAAATAAGACAAGGAGGTCCATGGCCACATTATTTGACAATGTTCCACAGTCTTAGCCAGTATGCTAAGAAAAAAGAAAAGTCATTATAAATAATGAAACAAAACAAAACAAAAATATCATTATGTGAAGATGATATGACTGCCAACCTAGAATACAGGAGAATTGATCAAAAGAATCTATCAGATTAACAGAGTTCAGAAGGATAGCTGGATATAAAATCAATATGTGAAAATCTGTAACTTTCCTTTACACCAGCAGCGTATTTCCCTCATTTTTATGCCACTTCATATTATTATTTTCTGTTGCCAGACAATTTATTCTTTGCTAATGTTAAGAATAAGGTAGAGGAATAAAGATGTGGTCGACAGTGTGTCAGGAAAAATGGATAAAATACAGCAAGCAGCACAATAACCGGTGTGCAATGTCCGCGTGGTCTCCTTTCTGCTCTTGGCTTTGTGAGGCACAGGGGCAGGTCTCGCTGGCTGGGAGCGGCCAGGAATCCCATCATCAACACAGCCCATGCTCTTAACACTTCCTTAGCTCCTAACAGACACATGAGTGACTGCGGATCTTTCTTACCATCTTGCCACTGACTGTGGCCTCCAGAGAATCCACCAGCTCTGCTGTGACCCCGATGAGATTGTGGTAGTCTGCCTGAATCTTGTTGTACCGCTTCAGGTATGTCATTGACCTTCGCTCGGCTTCTATCAGCTGCTGGTGGAGCTGCTGTGACACTTCTAGGAAGACAATACATATTGAAACAAATATACAGTAAGAAAACCCCACAAAATAAAAAATAATCACATTCTTCTCAAGGGAGTATCATGCCTACTTTCAGAATATTTTGCTAACACAATGAACTTGACATTATTCGTGTCTAACACTTTGCTGCTATTTCTCTACATGTTTAATTACCAAGTGCTATGTAACCACTGATTTTCAATTTCTTGTCTCTGGTAGTTCAACTGAACCATCACTGGTTTTCTTCACACAATCTATTTCCTTGACTGAGCTCCATGCAATTTCTTTTAGTTGTTCTATGTACGAGAAACAAACTCAGTGTTTCTTTCTACAATCAGCTCACAAACTGGATGAACTGAACCTGTGTCTTTTCCTGGTTTTGTCCTGTGATGTTGTCCAGGGGACAGTAAGTATCTACAGGACAGTTCTTCATTTTAAGTAAAGGTTAGGCTACTTGACTAATGCTGAGAAAGCTAGAATCCAGAATTAGGTAAGGTTCCAGGTGCTCACTCTGCCAGCTTGATAAAGCACAAACCACCCCACTGGGCCTTAGAGCAGGCAGCCTTGGAAGATGTTAGGGCTCTCTTCTTGGACTCCCCACCAGGGGCAGCACTTGATGGCCAAGCCACCCAGGACACAGCTGGAATAGCAAACTTCATCCATGTCAACACTCCTTCTCCTATCCTACTTTCCCCCCTCCCAGAAGGCTAAGTTTGGATCGAAGGAAATGATGCTGCCCACAGACCCAAGTTAACTCCCTCCTGTCCCAATCCAGGTACTGCGTAATACTTAAAGTCATTGTTTTAGAACGCATTTCATCTATACAGAGAGAGATTTTAAAATCATAAAGACCTGGGCTCAAGCCCCTACTCTACCACATTCTTGCTGGATACCTTGGGCAAGATACTTAACTTCTCTGATACTCATTTCTTTCTTTCTATATATATATATATATTTTTTTTTTTTTTTTAGAGAGAGAGAGGATGCATGCAAGGGGAAAGCGGGGCAGAGGGAGAGACAGAATCCTAAGAAGGCTCCATGCCCAACAGAGCCCAACAGGGGGCTCGATCTCACGACCCTGAGACCATGACCTGAGCTGAAATCAAGGGTCGGACACTTAACCAACTGAGCCACCCAGGCGCCCCTGATTCTCATGCCTTATGAAATGGGGATGATAATGACCTTGAAGAGTTACTGTGGGATTGTACAGCACAGGGAATACAGTCAATGATACTGCAATAACACTTACCCAGGTGAGCACTGAGTACTGCACACCTGAAACTAATATAACACTGTATGTCAACCACACTTTAATTTAAAAAAAGCACACATACAAAACTGAGTCATTGTGAGGATTCAATGAGCAGATACATCCAAGTGCCTAGCTCACTGCTGGCCCACGGGAGGAAGTCAGTAAGTGGCAGCAATTACTACTGTTTCCTCTATGGGAAGGGCCAAAGATTTTCTAAATGTATTTCTATGCAAGAGGATAACCTGAAAAACCCAGAGGTTACACTGTAAAACAGTAAGACGCAAAGTTTGAAATATGTTAGAAGCATCCAGAAATAAAGATGATCAAGCCTCACATCCAGAGACTCTGATTTTGTGGCTGCAGGCTGGGGGCTGAGAAACTGTAGGGTCAACAAAGTCCCCAAATGGCTCTGACACATACCACAAGTTTGAGAACGGCCGTCCTAACTCATCTATTCCTCTTGGTGTTCTTTTTTTAAAAAGATTTTATTTATTTATTTGACAGAGAGAGACACAGCGAGAGAAGGAACACAAGCAGGGGGGAGTGGGAAAGGGAGAAGCAGGCTTCCTGCCGAGCAGGGAGCTCAATGCAGGGCTCGATCCCAGGACCCCGGGACCATGACCTGAGCCAAAGGTAGATGCTTAACGACTGAGCCACCCAGGCGTCCCTCCTCTTGGTGTTCTAAAGAGCCATGAAGATCATGCACAAACTGTATTTCAAAAACTTTGTTTTGTGATTATGTGTAGAAGTAAAATATTTTAACTATTAAAACCCAAAACATCACATAATAATGAACTAACACTATTATTATTGCTTAGCATCCTTCAAATCTCAGTATTGAAAGATAACTTTAAAAACTCCTCTGGCATAAACTTACATCCAGGGGCACCTGGGTGGCTCCATCGTTAAGCGTCTGCCTTTGGCTCAGGTCATGATCCCAGGGTCCTGGGATCGAGCCCCGCATCAGGCTCCCTGCTCGGCGGGAAGCTTGCCTCTCCCTCTCCCGCTCCCCCTGCTTGTGTTCCTGCTCTCTCTATCTCTCCCTCTGTCGAATAAATAAATAAAATCTTTTAAAAATAAATAAATAAAAAATAATAAACTTACATTCTTTATTGAATCTTTGGAGAACATCTCTGGAAATCATTTATCGAGTTTTTACTTAAATACTATTAGGGAGAAGGAGTCACTACCATCTTCCTATGCTCAATTACAATAAACTAGAACTTCCAATGATGAAAATTCTACAGGATGGTTTATAATTCCATTTCGTGGTAATGACTATTAGACAGCATCTATGAGAACTTTCTCAACGTGTACCGAGTGGCAAATGATGAATGAAGAACCAAAACCCATTAACTGGGCAAATGACCTCACAAATCATCAATATAAAAGCCACCAAAGGGCGCCTGGGTGGCTCAGTTGGTTAAGCAACTGCCTTCGGCTCAGGTCATGATCCTGGAGTCCCGGGATCGAGTCCCGCATTGGGCTCCCTGCTCAGCGAGGAGCCTGCTTCTCCCTCTGACCCTCCCCCCTCTCATGTACTCTCTCTCATTCTCGCTCTCTCAAATAAATAAATAAATCTTTAAAAAAAAAAAAAAGCCACCAAAATTGTCCCTCTTGAAAGGGGACTGCACAAAGGAACACTCCCCCTCGGAAACTCACTGCACAATTAGCTAAATGTAAGGGACCCAGAAATATTTGTGACCAGTTCAAACACACAGTTTAGCAGCCTGCTGTACAGAGACAGATACCACCTTGCAGAGACACCTTAGCTGCCTACAAACAGGACATGACCATTACTGGAAGCTACTGGGGTCGCAGCTCCAAGATCTCAACTTTATTTCTGAGCATTAAAAAGAACCCTGACTTTTTTCCTTCTCAAAAATTTTATGAGACAAGGACGACTGAGCCAAGATCCCTAGCCGTGCAAGAGCTCAACTTTTAGCGGAGAGGTCTCATTTCAAATTCCATGTTATATTAATGAAACACTCTTAGTCATGCCAGTGATATTTATTGAGACTCTTCATATTTCAAAACTACTGACAGAATTTGTACCAAATCCAAAGAACTACATCCCAAGTTTTAAGCAAAGAGATATATACAACTAAAAGAATGTGGGTTAAGGTCACAGAAAGTTTCTCGATCATTCCAGCATGCATTGAAACAGTAACAAAAGTGATGGAGATCTCCCCTGTGGCCAAGCCTCAAGCTTTCTCTTAACATTTCCACTTTAAGTACATTGCTTTTTTTTTTTTTTTTAAAGAGTAGATGAGATTTAATTTTAGTGATCCCTTTGTTGCTCAAAACAAAATGGTACATTTTAAAATATGGAACTATTTTTCCAACATCTAAAAATCTAAAATCAATCACTCTAACTTTACAATACAATATACTCTCTCTTCTTTGTATTCAGATATAAATTGGCTCTTTGCTGTTTTGCTAATCCGCAAGTACTGGATGGAGAAACTTATGATGTATAACTATGAATACTGGTCATCATTTTTAAAATACCATTTAGGGCTCTACACTCTAGAAAAATGGTCACTTGCTCATTTTCTGAAGGAGTCAAATCAATTAATGGCAAAAATGCCGAAAGATATGATTTCTCTACCTTTTTTAGATGGCCAGGTAAAATAATAACACAATATGCTGTATTTCCAACCTGAATTTTTCTTCTAAACTCCATTTAAAAATATAATTCCTTTTCAGAGAATTTTCCACTCCAAGCACTTTTTTTTTTTTTTTTAAGATTTTATTTATTTGACAGAGAGAGAGAGCACAAGCAGGGGGAGCGGCAGGCAGAGGGAGAGGGAGAAGCAGGCTCCCCGAGGAGCAGGGAGCCCGATGCGGGGCTTGATCCCAGGACCCTGGGATCATGACCTGAGCCGAAGGCAGATACTTAGCCAACTGAGCCACCCAGGTGCCCCTCCAAGCACTTTTCTTGCCTCCTTCAAAAGCTTATGGAACTCTTAGCTGATCCATGAAACCTTCCTATCAAGACACACAGAATAATGACTCGCCCAACCATTCAATGTAAAAACAACACCTAAGTCTAGAATTAAATTAAACTGGGGGCATGTCTGGGCTTTGAGATCACTGCAGCCATTAAGTGTGGGAGGAGGGGACAAAGTGCAGACAACCGGCTGTCAGGACACTGGCCCGGGGCCCCTGATACCAGCGCTCTGCAGCACTAATCTCTGGTATCCATGGCAACGCTGCATGCGGTGCTTATTCTGCCACAGCCACACGCTGGGCCTGCCAGTCTCAATTCCACAGACATTCTGCTTGGCTTCCTCAGAAAACTCAATTAAAACTGAACCTAAAAAAGGCTCAAACACCCTGGTCTCCTTGCTGAAATCCAAAGGAAAGATCTATAGAAAAACACAGGCTCTTCCCCTCCCAGCTTTTGCACTCCCTCTCCCAGATTTATCTGTAAAATTGGGCTACTTCTCAGAGACATGACTGGTTCTTGGCAGAAAGCTATCCTCCAAAACTGCAGGGTATGTTGGGGTGACAAGGGCTGGCTGAGACTCAGGAATCGGGGAGGTTTCCCACCACTTTCCCTCCACCAGTACCTAGGAGTTCAAAGACCGAATCTGAACAGAGGCCAAGCAGATTCAGTCAAGAACTAAGGCTATCTTCTGAAACTCTAAGGATGCAGGTGAGGTAGTGGTTTTAAAATGACTGCCCCGTCTTTGACACTCCTTCCTATCAAGAGGTGGAAGGTCATTCTCCTTTCTTTGAATGTAGATTGGCCTTAGGAATTGCTTCTAATGAGAATGTAACAGAAGTGACACTGAGTTACTTGAGAGGCTGGTTTAGAAAAGGTGATGCAGCTTCCACTGGCTCCGTCTGGGGACATTCGCCCTTGGAACCCAGCCACCATGCCGCGACGAAGCCTAGGCCACGTAGGAGTTCCACTCAAGGGCCTCAGCACAGGCCCCCAGACTTGCGCAGGTGGGTGAGGAAGCCTTGAAGATGGCTCCACCAGGCTCCATCGGCATCCAGGAGGCACTGAGGGAGAACTGCCTGAGCACACGATTCCCAGCCATGCAAGATGGTGATAATAATATAAATGGACATTGTTGTTTTATGCCACTAAGCCCGAGATGGTGCACTAGGTTGGAACAGAAACAGAAATAGTGGGGCAAAGGTGCATTTCTAGGAGTTGCAGGGCAGGACCCAAATGCCCAGAGCAATTTATGAATTCCCACTGTTCTGGGGGCGCCTGGGTGGTTAAGCAATGACTCTTGGTTTGGTTCAGGTCATGATCTCGGGGTCCTGGGATTGAGCCCCACACTGGGCCCTGTGCTCAGTGCAAGGGTCTGCTTGAGGACTGGAAAGGGTATATGATGTGTTTCATGCCTTCGGTAAGTTCTGGTGGCATAATCCTCAGTCCCACTCCCTGTGCTCTGTCTCTCTCTAAAAATGGATAAGGAAATCGTTAAAAAAAAAAAAAAAAAGAATTCCCACTGTTTCAAACATGAGAAAACTGGCACAGGACCCACCCCAGCCAACGCCCGGGAACTGTACTAACTCTTCAGGGAGCAGGCCCGAGGAGCTGAAGAAATCCGCTCAGGCCCATCCTCGGGCTTAACTACACTGCGGGCGGAGCAGTCTCCGGAGCGCCAAGGTGACCTTCCATGTTGACCCCATACGGCCACATCTGTGGTCAGGCAAGGACCGATGCTCCCCCGTGAAGGATCAGTGGGGCCTGTCCCTCTGAGCTCCGGGGGGTGGCGGGGCCGGTGGGGTTGGCGGGGCTGGCAGAGCCACGCACACACACAGAGCCGCTGGGCTGGGGAGAGGCAAGCCTACACAAGGCCGAAACAGGCATCCAGACTTCCCGCCACCTCCCTCCTGGGGTGTCAAATCTAAAGCTTGTTTGTCAACTCCCTGGAAAGCAAAGAGCTAAATAATTTACTAACACTTCCTTTCTTTATAAAACTTTAACTTTCTAAAAAAAACCAAAAACCAAGAACCAACCCCCCCCCCACACACACACACAAACCCATGGAGAAACAATGGCAGGAAGTTTTGAGATCAGCTCTAACACTACCCTGCGGCGGGAGGGGCAGATGTGCGATTCCACATGGTAAAACTCCACCTGCTGGGGACTTAGGATTAGGCCACCAGAACTTACCGCAGGCCTGAACACTTCACACAGCCTTTCCAACATTTCAGTGGTTTCCTAATGTAGCATCAAGGCCGAAACTCCGGCAAAGAACCACAATTGTGGCCACTGACTTTGTTCTGTTGTTGTTGTTGTTCTTTTTTTTTTTTTTTTAAACAAACCCTTGTGTCGAGGGCTGACTGGCCACTGACTTCATATTAACTAAAGTTTTTCTCACCTTACCGAAAAATGAACAGTTCTGGTTAAAAAAAAAAAAAAAAAAAAAAAGGCTAATAATGGAAAACCATCATTTTATGCTGGAATGTTGGAATTCCTACTTTGAATGCAAAAAACGGAAATGCTTCTAAGATGGGTGCTCCATATTGCTACAGAAACAAGAGCCCCCTAGACTAGTTCAAGATAAAAGTGACAGATACTAAAAGGATTCTTCCTCCCACCTCCTCCCCCCCCCCGTGCTGCACTGTGTCTTCTGGCTGTGCCCTTTGGGACAGGGCCTGGGCTCCCTTCATCTCTCCACACCTGGGATACCTGATGTGCCAGCCCTGCTGCACAGGGGGCCTCAAGGGACCACAGAGAAACTTGATTGCAAAGCACTTCACAAATATTTAGACTGTTTTATTTAAAAAAAATATTTAGACTTTTAAAGCCCTTGTTCACCAAGTGCACGAATTTTCTCCATCTCTGCTCCTATCTCACTACTCAAAAGTGAGTCAAACTTTTGAGTTGGCAAAACTGTTCTTTAAAAAATGTTAATCTAGGGGCGCCTGGGTGGCTCAGTCGGTTAAATGATTGACTCTTGGTTTCAGCCCAGGTCGTGATCTTAGTGTCATGAGATCGAGCCCCACATTAGGCTCCGTGCTTAGCTTGGAATCTGCTTAGGACTCTCTCTCCCTCTCCTTCTGTCCCTCCCTTCTGCTCGCTTGCGCTCGCTCTCTCTCTCTCTCTCTCCCCCCCCTAAAATAAATAAATAAATCTTGAAAAAAATAAAAATTAAAAAATGTTAATCTAGATGATTTACCTTTATGACTTTGTCCGTTCTCCTTCTGGGATGAGAAAGAAGTTGAGGAAAACAGGCACTGAGGATAAAGTCCTCAGGGTCTCTCACATTGTGCAGCCAATCTGAGAAAGCCTTAGCAAGATACAAGAGGGAATTCTCAGGACGGTAAAGTCTGCTTCTTCATGTAGCTATAAGGAGCTGAGACAGTTACTGACTTCTCAGTACTTGGATGGCTCACTCTCAAGTGAACCCTCTTCTCTGCAGCTCAATTCCTGCTGCATGCGTGTAAGTCTTATGCTGTTTCAACGGCCCCCCAAGCGGCCTCCTTGTCCCCTTCCAAAGACCTTCCCCACTGCTACCGAACATTCTCCTAAAAATGCAAACTGAACTCATACCCTTCAACTCTGTCACTTCAATTTTAAAGCTCTACCCTAAGGAGACTGAGATGGGGATGACAACAGCAAAGCACAGTAGATAAGGTCACAGACTCTGGAGCCAGACTGCCTGAGTTTAAATCTCAGCTCCCACACATCAGGCCACAGGACTGAAGGCAAAGCACTTAACTTGTTTGGTTTGGGTTTTCTTAAAATTTTTTTGGTAACAGCTTTACTGAGATATAATTCACATATAACTCACTCATTTTAAGTATATATTTCATTGGTTTTCAGTATGCTCATAGAGTTGTGCAACCATCACTACAATCAATTCTAGAACATTCTTATCACTCCCCAAAAGACCTCTGTACCCATTAGGAGTCATCCCCATTTTCCCTACCCTCCCTGGCCCTAGGCAACCACGAACCTACTGTCTCTATTGATTTGCTTCTTCTGGACCTTTCATACAAACAGAATCATATAAAAGGCAGCCTGTCATGTCTGGCTTCTTTCACTCAGCACGATGTTTTCAAAGTTCATCCACACTGTAGCATGTGTCAGGACTTCATTCCTTTACATGCCTGAGTAATATTCCATTATATGGGTATGCTGCATCTTATCTATCCATTAATCCCTTGATGGACATTTGAGTTGTTTTCACTTTTCGGCTGTATTGAATAACATTGCTGTGAACATTCATGTACAAGTTGTCATGTGGACATATGTTTTCAGTTCCCTTGGGTATATAGCTAGGAGAGGAACTGCTGGGTCACATGGTAACTCTATATTTAAACTTTTGAGGAAACAACCTATTTTTGAAGAGTATTTAATGATATGGGGAAATGCTCTCTTCATTTGGTAAAAATATTTAAAAATACACACATGTACAGATATCTACGTTTATTTAAACATTACATACTTTTGGGTGTATGTATGTATACAAATGCATTTCTATGCTTTCCAAATTCTCTATGAGGAATATGATCAATTTTATAATCAGGAATAAAAAGGAGTGATTTTTTTTTTTTAATGTAAATATGAGCATGGTATTCTCCTGCTTAAAATGCTCCAGAGGCTCCTCTTGACTTACAAGACCTCACACAAACCTATGTGCCCTGGCCCTGCCTAGTCTCTGACTTTCTCTTCTGTTCCAGCAATACTGAATTCCCAAATATACGGTCTCAGTCCTTTCACATGAGCTGTTCCCTCTACCTGGAATTCTCTTCATGGGCCTTGCCACACTCTGCCATGAATGCTTTACTCACTGGCAAATACGACAGCAACACTAACAGTTAGCCCCATCTAGGAGGCAGCCTGAGCCAGGGGGCCGCCCCAGCACCACAGGTGGTGCCCATCTGCTTCAAAAGGATACGTATAACGTTAAAAGCTTTGGTGTGTTGCTGGCTTTAAAAATTAAAGCCAGAAACTTTTCCAACTTCAGCTTTAATTCTGGAGTCCAAGAATCCTGAAATAAAAAAAGAAAGATAATAAAAGCCCTAGATCATTAAATGCCAACAGCATTGTCAAATGGTGGCCTTTGGCTTAAATAACCCCATCCAACACAGTTACTGAAATCAAGAGCAAGATGCCTTGCCTGTGGTGGGATGCCGCGAAAAATAGGTTTTTGGACATCTGACCAATTCGTTTATAAAAGATCAGATACCCACAGCAGGAGGAAAGAACGGAGTTCTGTCATAAACAAGGAAAAAAGAACCCTGCACATGATTTGAATATTTCATGTGATTTACACACAAGCATGACAAATAAGCGTATTAGGTTGAATGGCAACCAGAATTCAGAATCGTTGAAGCATACACGGTGCTGGCGGGTATACACGGCTAGCACTCAGTTCCTGCGAGTTTCCCAAAGAGAAAGGCTCATTTCCATAAACCTCATCTAGATAAGGAAAAAAAAAAAAGACAGAAGCTGTTATCTGCCTCAAATAATCCGTCATGTCAAGCATTACGATATACTTTTAGTTTGATTTGTCCCTTGATAATAAATTACTTAATTCAAATAATGCTCATTAGAAGGAAAAAATAATGACTTAAGGAATAAAAGAAAAAGTGTGACAAGCAATTATCTTTCTCAGGCAATTTTCCTTACAGTCTTTATATAAAAAAATCTATCACCCAAACCAAGAAGTTCCACAGAAAAGAAGCAAGATCTCTAAAAATTCCTATCAACTTACCTCTTAGGCCCTGCCCCACCCCCGCAGACCCCCGTCCTTCCGCGCTTCCCCTCCCCAGCTCTGTGTCCTTATCCATGCCCCCACCCCACCCGTTCTACCCAGGGCATCATCTGGCTTTTTGAAAAAATACTATCTTATATTTTTAGAAGACTGTGTAATTCCCTGACATGGCATGATAGCTTTAGTTATAATGTGTGTGTTATGGGTTGAATTGTGTCCCCTAAAAAGATATGCAGAAGTCCTAGCCTCCTCAGAATGTGAGGTCATTGGAGTGGGGTTGTTGTAGATGTAATTAGTTAAGATGAGGTCATATTGGAGTAGGGTGGGCCCTTGATGCAACATGACTGGTGTCCTTCTAAGAAGGAAAATTTAGACACAGACACAGAGAGAAGATGGGCCTGTAAAGACGGGGGGCTGGAGTTATGCTGCCACTAGCCAAGGGACATCTGAGGCTACCAGAAGCAGAAAGAGGCAAGGAAGGATCCTCCCCTAGAGGCTTCGCAGGGAGCATGGCCCTGCCAACACCTTGATTTCAGACCTCTGGCCTCATGAACTATGAGACCGAAAGTTTCTGTTGTTTAAGGTACCCGGTCTGTGGCCCTTTGTTACAGCAGCTCTGGGAGACTAATACAGTGCGCTACCGCTCAAGGCTTCTGCGCTCAACCATACCATAAAGAATTGCAAGGAAGGACTACCATGTTGGCCAACATTAATGAAGACATCTTAAAAAACAAACAAAACAAAATATTTGGAACATGGAGACTTCCAGTTAAATTGCTCTGTTGCTGATTACTATTTTGTATCACCACCAAGTATATATTTTCAGTTTAACTGTTTACCTTCTGACGCTCTGCTAATGACAAGGCTAAGATTGGGATAAAACCTCTCTGGGCAATGAATCCCTTATTTTTTTCTTGACTGCTTTGATTTTTCTGTGCTTTCAGCTTTGAGAACAAGAACATTTCCAAGTCTGCTAGGCACCTGACTGCCCAGCTCCCACAGGAATGGGGGAAGCACTGGGCTGGTTCTCTGTACTCCCTGAACGAAGTCACTCCCCCTCTTTACATCACAGTCTCTTCACTTATAGAATGTAGACTTTACACTAGATGAGTGATCATCTGACTTTTTTTTTTTCCAACAGCAAAACCCTTCTGATCATTCAAAGTCTTGCCCAGAACCCTAATGTATGAAATGAATAAAAGCAGGGTATTCTTGTGGAGGGGAGGGGAGAACTCCATGCTTGACTCTCTTGGCCTACCCACTGCCTCCTCCCTCCCTCGCAGAGCCCACAAGAATTCCTTCCATTTCTTTCCATTTTCACTAATTAAGCTTGACTTGGTCCCTGGCACCCAACTGCCCAAAACTTTTTCTGGAAGTAATCAGCTAGAGGAATACCTAAATATTTCTGCAAGGAGATGCTCACTGACAATTTGCTGAAAAGAGCTCATTACAATCTCTACAAAATAATTTTCTTTCCTGACACCTCAGCAGAAAAGATAACCTGAAAAAGCAATGAAAACAACTAAAAAAGCTGCATAAGTTAACCATATTTTAAAATCCATCCCCAAGTGGCAAGAAAGGAAAAGCAGAGGCTAAAAGTGACAGTTTTCGCTCTAAGGATAACTCAGAGTCTAGAAGACCTTACACCTCAGTTCTAAGAGTGGTCATGGTACAGAAGACGAAGACAATAGGATCCACTCATAGTAAACAATCTAATAGGAGACCCTAGCATAAAACTGGGATCCCAGGGCACCTGGGTGGCTCAGTTGGTTAGGCGTCTACCTTCAGCTCAGGTCATGATCCCAGGGTCCTAGGATCGAGTCTTGCATCAGGCTCCCTGCTTAGTGGGGAGCCTGCTTCTCCCTCTGTCCCTCCCCCCTTTCGTGCACTCCCTCTCTCTCTCTCTCAAAAACAAATAAAACTTTAGAAAAAAACCCTGGGATCCCAAAGGACTATACCATCAGGAAAAAGTCAAGGACAAACCAATCCACTGTCTAGAAGGTGACAGCAAGGAAATCTACCTGTCTTGACCTTGACATTAGGTAGAAGGGAGGAAAAACCTCATTTGAAACTTCATAACCCAAACTAGTCTCATTAAAGATTGTAGCCTAAACTGAAACTATCTATGTGGTTCCCAAAGCCTTGAGCAAAGAAATTTAATTTAAAATGATCCTGGGTTGGTAATGCCCTAGATGACTGAGAGATGCAAATGCAGATCTCTGAAAGAACCAAACTCCACTCAGGCCTCAAAAAACTCCCACAAGTCCCAAGTAGAGTAAACTCATTGTCAAAACTCAAAATAACTAATTTTTTTTTTTTTCAAAAAAAGATATAAGGCGCCGTGAATGAACCAGCAGAAATTAAACACAGCAGGATCAAATCTATAAAGGCTCCTGATGTTAAAATTAACAAAGAATATAACACAAATTATAAATATGGTAAAGAAATTAAAAAAAAGGGTTGAAAATATGAGCAAAGAACAAGAGACTATAAAAAAAATGACCCAGTAAATTTGAATTAAAAAACAAAAAGAACTTCTATTAACAAAAGTTAGTAAGTGAAATTACAAATTCAATTAAGGGGGCGCCTGGGTGGCTCAGTCGGTTGAGCGACTGCCTTCGGCTCAGGTCATGATCCTGGAGTCCGGGGATCGAGTCCCGCATCGGGCTCCCTGCTCGGCGGGGAGTCTGCTTCTCCCTCTGACCCTCCTCCCTCTCGTGCTCTCTGTCTCTCATTCTCTCTCGCAAATAAATAAATAAAATCTTTAAAAAAAAAAAATTCAATTAAGAATTAAAGAACAGCTTAGACTGAAGACAGGTGTGAATAAATCACCCAGAACACAGTCCTGACAGAGATCACGAGATGGAAAATACAAGATGTTAAGAGACATGGAGGGCTCAACACTGTGAACATCCTTGACTCTACTGAACTGTACACTTCACAGTGGTTGAGACGGTAAATTTTATTTTATGTGTATTTTGTCACAAATTTTTTAAATGAAAAAAAAAAAAGACAGGATAGAAGAAGCAAGTCTAATGCAGATTTAATCAGATACATAGATTAAATGTAGATTTAATCAGACATCCAGAAAAAGATAATAAAGAGGAGAGGCAATATATGACGAGAAAACAGAATTTTCCAGAGTCGTTCAAAGGCACAAAACGTCACATCCAGGAAACCCAACAAATCCCAAGTAGAAATAGAAATCTACCCCTAGACATGCCATAGTAAAATTACACAACCTCAAAGGTCAGAGAAATAAGACAGATCACCTACACGGGAAGAGCAATTAGACTGTTGGCCGGAGCGGGGTGATACCAACACCTTGTTATCAAGGGTGCGCCCGGGTGGCTCAGTGGGTTGAGCCCGACTCTTGGTTTCGGCTCAGGTCATGATCTCGGGGTTGTGAGATCCAGCCCACATTGGGCTCTGAGTTCAGCATGGAGTTTGAGATTCTCTCTCTTTCCATCTCCCATTGCCCCTCCCTGCCCCACACGCATGCGCGCTCTCTCTCTCTCTCAAAATAAATAAATCTTAAAAAAAAAAAAAGAAAGAAAGAAAATAGCTGTAAGCCTACCATTCTGGACCCTGACTAAAAAAGCAACAGAGACATTTCAGACAAGCGAGAACGGAAAGAAGAGACTGTCACCTAAAGGAGACTCTAAAGGGATGTATGTGAGGCAGAGAAGATGATTACAGATGGAAGGTCCTTAACGTAAGTCGGAACAGCAAGCACATCTATGGGTGAACAGAAGGGTAAATCCATACACACATAGACTGCATCAAATAATAAGATTCCGTAATGTGTGGGGTTAAAGTATGTAACTGAAATACTTGACAATAACAGTAAGTGAGCTGGGAAGGGGATGAAGGAGGTGAATGCATTCTAAGGTCCTTGTAATGGTCAGGAAGACGAGGAAGATATGAGCTTTAGATTCTGTTATGCATACATACTCAGGTATCTATGACGGCCACTGAAGGAACATATGTAGAGAGTAGCAAAAGGAAAAAAAAAAAAGGAAACACGTGACTCCTCATGAATACTGAACCCTGCAGACTCGGGACGCCAAGCCAGAGCGGGCCAGCCGCCTGCCGAAGCCCGCCTGGACCTCAGCCGCGGCCGCAGTGCTGCGCCATCATCTTCATAAACAGAAGTCTTCGCAGTGAGAAAATCCACTCTTTCAAGTTTCACCGCCTTCCTTAACCATTATGTGTTTTCAACCTTCTCGGAGAGGAAGGGGGCAAAACTAAATTTGGATGGACAAAGAAAACCAAGCACAGAATTCAACGTAGGCTACTCTATGACAAGCCTGCTTTCATGAAGTCATTCAACTCTGGCCTTCAGTTTAGGGGCTACTATTCGGGAATGCTGACAGGTGTCTGACTAAAGCATAACGGAACAGGAGACGGAGACATACTGGGTCTGGAGAGAGAAGTGCATCTGTTGTCCAGTGGCGCATGAGCTCTCTCCAAAGAGATGCTCGGAAACAGTGTGAGATCTTTCTTTAGAAAAAGCAACTGCATCAGTCTCTTAAACACGTTTTCATAAACCTCTCAGGGGACATCTTAATTTTATTAAGTCAACAAGAATTACTACAATGGATAAACACTGATAATAAATAGTATGCTGAAATGTCAACTACAGTGAAATAAAACAATTAAAAGAGCTCCAGGAAAGTAGTCTGAAAGAAGTAATAGTACACAACCAAGTCCTCAGACATGCACCAAGTAAGTGAGACTCTGAATAGAAATTAAAACACATATAGCGGGGCACCTGGGTGGCTCAGTTGGTTGAGCAACTGCCTTCGGCTCAGGTCATGATCCTGGAGTCCCAGGATCGAGTCCTGCATCGGGCTCCCTGCTGAGCGGGGAGTCCGCTTCTCCCTCTGACCCTCCCCCCTCTCATGTTCTCTCTCTATCTCATTCTCTCTCAAATAAATAAAATCTTTAAAAAAAAAAAATAAATAAAATAAATAAATAAAACACATATGGCCAGCAATTACGTAAAATAACCTAGTTCTTTTCAGGCCACCAATTTTCGATGTAATTGAATAAAAATTATCCTTTCGATATTGAAAAAGTATGCATGGAATGCTTTAAGAAGTACACTTAAAAATAGTTATGTTAGTCCTAGTTAACAAGTCTTTTTTTTTTTTTAATATTTTATTTATTTATTTGACAGAGAGAGACACAGCTAGAGGGGGAACACAAGCAGGGGGAGTGGGAGAGGGAAAAGCAGGCTTCCCGCGGAGCAGGGAGCCCCATGCGGGGCTCGATCCCAGGACTCTGGGATCATGACCTGAGCCGAAGGCAGACACTTAACGACTAAGCCACCCAGGCGCCCCTAACAAGTCTTAATACAACCGAAAAATGAAATTTTATGGCACAAGAAAAGTTTGTCAAAGAAAATTATCTGAGAACAGAAGCGAATTTTCAGGTTTTTTACGGCATCATTCAGAAACCACTAGCGTCGACAAGGTGAAACCGCAATGCCACCCCGGATCCGACTGGTCACTCACCTGGAAGAGCTCTTTAAACGAGGGGTGGACCATGGGGTTGGGAACAAAAGGCAGAGCATAGAAAGGGAGAAACTCCGTGGTCTGGCTCAGCGCTGCCCCTTTGGTCTCCAGGTAGGTTTTGAAATAAGAAATCCTCTCATCCAGGTCCTCTTTGTCCTGCAAAGAAGGAAAGATGTTCGCTTGGGGTCTCCTGCTGGACGCCCGGTTCCACCCCCCCCCCTCCATCCCACTCTTTCCCCGCGGCTCCTCTAGTTCCAGCCACGGTGCTGGCATCCTCCCCCACCCCCCATCCCCCCGCCTAGCAAGCACAAGGTCTCTGGTCATTCAAACACCACCCCTCATGTCCCCCTTGACGGAACTTTGTCAGGAATTTCAGAGAACTAGATATATAGTTCGATCTGCTGCCCTTTTACTTTATAATTATCATGTTCTCATATCCTTAAAATTCTTCATAAACATCATTTATACCGGCAGGACAAAACCTCACCTCATGGGTCTATCACAATTTACTTAACCAATTCCCCTATTATTAGACGTGTGCATTGTTTCCACTTGTCACAGATCATAAACATGCGTCTCCAGGATTCCCTCAGGAGAGGTGCAGAAGCTGCCATCGCATCCCTCCTTTCCTCTGCAAAGCTAACTAAGGACTGATCTTGCGGGCCGCACTGGCTCCACGCGTGATCCGAGGCAACCCCGTCCCTCTCAGGATTTGATTTCCTCCTGCGCCTCAGTGAGGTCGGGGCACTTGAGCTGCTCAGCCCGGAATCGAGTGCTCTCCTTCCCTGACCACCTGGCTGCACCAGAGCCGTGCACCCTGTGTATGTGTGCTCTTCTAAGCGACACATCTCACTCCGTCTACACCGGGAAGCCCTCTTCTGGCCACTGGGCTTAAAAAAATGTATGGTGTGTATTGATTTTTTTAATCTTACGTCAAAATAAAAAAGTTAGAAAACAGAAATAAATATAAGGAAAATGAAAATCTCCCACGGTCTCACCCCCCATGCACACTGTCTTGAGGAACAGGAATGGCTACCGTGACTTACTGTAAAGCTGCTCCCTCCACCACTGACCCCTCCCCTGGCCCCCCTGACATTTTAGTAAGTGAACATAGGTGCTTGGGGGCAGTAGCTAATGCAAGGAGAAGCCACTAAAGAAAGGCATGTAGTCAAATGTCAACATGGCCCTGCTCCCTTCTGTCATTTGCTCTGTACTGGGAGGCTTGGCGGCCACAGTAGTGGGCGCTCTCAGCCGTGCCCTCAGCACCACTGTGGAAGGACTGCAGAGGCTACACTCATCTGACCGCTCAGACAGACCTTCACAAACAGGCATCTTTCCACGGCTTAAGCTCAAACTTCTCTTCTATTAGACAGTCTAATATGTGGTCTCAATAGGTGTCCTCTTAGACATACGTGTATTCACGTTAAGTTGCCAAATAAGGAATTTTGCTGAGTTTTCAGAAATTTGAGGCATTGAAGAAAACCATGTAGCTTTCCATACAGAAATTATTAACTCTCTGTATAAACTAGAAAATAAACTACTGGGAATGAGACAGAAAATCATGCACAGGACATGGGACGCCTACTCCTTGGAAGCAATATGATAAAATGGCCACAAAACTAAATTAATGCTTATTTACAAAACAAAAAGCTAACATTTCCCCTTGAACACACCATTCAGACCCACCCAAATCACAAAGGGAACCTACAGGTCTCCCTAAGGAGTGTTTCAGAAGATAGATGGCAAAATGGATGTGAAGATAGAATTCCAACTTCTGGGCAAGGGAGTCACGATCTCGGATGGAACTGGGAACGTGCTCCTCCCACAAATCGAAGAACACCTTCTGGTCGCCATTGTCAAATGCAGCAACGAGGTCCTTCTGTGGAGAAGACATCAGACTGAACCCCAGTCATAAGGGAGGCCCATTCTCCCAACACCCCAACTTCTTACAAGCTACCCAAATCCTGCATACCCCATACACTTTGTGGTTCCAGTGTGAGAACTCAGTCTCCTTCCCGAGATAAGGGACAGAAAACCAGAGAGCTAGAAGGCTTCAAGCATCTTAGGCTGAGATTCCCACAAACCAACCCTGGTTGCAAGGTCAAGTCTCAGCTTTACAAGGAACAGATGAAACATTTAAGTCTCTGACATGGAAGGAACCAGGCACAGGCCCAGGACTTGAGGCCAGAAAACGCACAGGCACATAAATACACTGAAGTCATCCTGTAGACTTGCTGACCCAGAGCATGTGATCGATAAAAAGCAGGTCAGATCCAAACCCCAGCCAGGCCTCAGTGGAACTCACCCCGCACACAGAAGCTTACCGACAGCCCAGCTAAGTCCTGGAGTGGCAGCTCCTACACACCGCCCCAGTCAATCCCAGGCCTGGGCGGTGGGTGCTGTCATTTGCTCCGTGTTGCTAAAGCATGTCCCATAGAGATGGCACTCGGGAAGTGATGACAGATTCCCAACACACCATGCAGTGACTGTCTGTGTCCACCAATTACAGAAACAGGGATGCACAGGCTGGAGATGGAGGGAGGAGCACAGGCCTGGCACTCTTCCCACCTCGGGGCTGCGTGAGTCTGACCACACAGGGCAGGCAGTTTCCTAAACTACCGTGCAAAAGCAGAAATAGAGAATTCTGGGGAAAGGAGGTGGCGATTATCATGCCACCAGCCTCGCAAAAATGATGACTGACCCACTGCAAATACCTGCTGCGTAATTTTACAGATTTAGGTATAAGGCAGAATGGACAGAACTTCCTAACGGTCCCAAACCATGTGATTCATATTGTTTTCCTTCCTGTATCAAATGCCCAAGATACTCAGACCTACATTTTGTGCTCATCTGCAAAAGCTTTTCTTGGATTGGATTTTCTACAGAACCTCCCGTTCCCCCCACCCAACACCATTATTCATCACTATTAATTGACAATTGTTTTTTATACTTTTTAAAAATGGCTTTATAGTTTTCCTCTTTTTTTTAGGTTGTTTAGAAATAAGCTTGTTAATATTATAAAATGGGAATGTACTGCACAATGTTGCACTGTCCGGTTATACTTAAAGACATTCATTAATAAAGAATCCATGAGGGACGCCTGGGTGGCTCAGTCAGTTAAGTGTCTGCCTTCAGCTCAGGTCATGGTCTCAGGGTCCTGGGATCAAGCCCCGCATTGGGCTCCCTCCTCAGTAGGGAGTCTTCTCCTCCCTCCTCTGCCTCTCCCCTGGTTTGTGTTCTCTCTCTCACTCGCTCACTCCCTCTCAAATAAATAAAATCTTAAAAAAAAAAAAAAAAAAAAAAGGATCTTCGGGGTGCCTGGATGGCAACCAACTCTTGGTTTCAGCTTGGGTCGTGATCTTGGAGTCTTGAGGATGAGCCCCGCACAGGCTCCATGCTCAGTGTGGAGTCTGCCTGGAGCTTCTCTCTCCCTCTCCCTCTGCCCTTCCCAGCTGCACTCTCTCTTACTCTCTCTAATAAATAAATAAATCTTAAAAAAAAAAAATCTTTAACTGTGCTTATTACAGAAATGTTCTCTACTTCATGTGATCAAGAACAACTGACTGTTACCTTACTCTGGAAGGTCTTGGCCCCTCAGCCTTGGAAACAGCGAAGGACAGCCTGTCAGCAGCCATGGGAAGGGAGGTGCCCAAAGTGTGAACAGTCAGGCACCGCCACGTCCGGAAGAACGGGGAGGAAGCCCATTACTGACTGACACAGGGTGCAGGGGACCTTCCTAAGTGGCAGTACTGCTGGAGTCTGACGCCCCTCCAGGCTCACTGCGGCTGAGCTCGAAGCTGACCCCGTCATCCCCGCGAGCCACTCGGGGGGAGGCATGCTCTCAAGAGGGGGCTGGAGACCAAGAGTTCTTTGTGTGAGTGAGTTGCATGCAGACTCTTGTGAGTATTTTAAGGCTTCGAGTCAAGGTATTTTCTTACGTGGCTTGGCAGAGTCCACATGTTCAAATGGGCCATGTACAGTTTGTTCTAAATTCTTCATTTGTAGACCTGGGACCACAAACTTTCCTGTATCATTATAATCACATCTAAAATCCATCCTAACTTATGATTCATATTCTGTACCTGGAAATAGTCCCTGTATTTAATATCGACATACAAAGCAATCCAGTGTTATAACTCAATACAGTCACAAAGATTAATGATCTTCTCTAATATAAACCATGATCCCAGCCAGAATCACCAAGCTCAGAATATTTATACACCATCAACAATAACTTATAAACACACACACACACACGTCTTACAGAAGTGTGCTTTGGAAAATTCTCCATTTGTTGAGTGCCACTGGCACTTAAGATATTTTGCTAAGCTGCTGTTCCAGGTATTTTTGTTTGGAATAGCTATCACAGTGGGCACAGCTGTTTATTGGACGAGCAGAAAAAATATGCCTGTGGCAATCAGAAAGTTTCAAGATCTTTCAAGTTATAGAAAAATGGACCTGAATACAACTGAGAAATGTGAACCCAAACCACAAGATATCACTTCACATCCATTAGGGACTACTATCAAAACAAAACCAAACCAAAAACAAGTATTGGCAAGGCTGCGGAGAGCTTATAACCCCTGCACACTGTTGATGGGAATGTAAAATGTAATCACCATGGAAAAGAGTATAAAGGTTCCTCAAAAAATTAAAACTAGAACTACCATATGATCCAGTAATCCACTTCTGTGTATATATCCTAAATAACTGAAAGCAGGATCTCAAAGAGATATTCGTACACCTATGTTCACAGCAGCACTATTCACAATAGCCAAGAGGTGGAAAAAACTCAAGTGTCCACTGATGGACAAATGGATAAACAAAATGTGGTACAGACATATAATGGAATCTCCTTCAGCTTTAAAAAGGAAGGAAATTCTGTCACATGTCACAACATGGACAAACCTTGCTCCCTGTCCCCTCCAGCCTCCCCGAGCTAGAATGCAAGCACCTGGAGGGGTGAGCTTTGGTTTGGTTCACTGTGTCCCCAGTGCCTAAAATACATAACCTAAAACTGCTCAGGATGGGGATCACATTTGTTTCAGTTCCTAAGCATTGCATGGTTTCCTCTTTTTCTTCTTCCCAAGAAATGTACATTAAGGAGGGCACTTGATGGAATGAGCACTGGGTGTTATATGCAACTGATGAATTACTAAACTCTACCTCTGAAACTAATAATATATCGTATGTTAACTAAACTGAATTTAAATAAAAAATTAAATAAATAAATAAAATAAACAGAAATGTACTTATGTGGAAGATATTATGTCACAACCCATTTCCTAGGGAAGGTACACAGATTTAAAGATGACATTACTGGGACGCCTGGGTGACTCAGTCAGTTGAGCACCTGACTCTTGATTTTGGCTCAGGTCATGGTCTCAGGGTCATGAGATAGAGCCCCGTTGTGGCGGGCTCCGTGGTCAGCGGGGAGTTTGCTTCTCTCCCTCTTCTTCTCACTCTGCCCCTCCCCCTACTTGTACGCTCTCCCTCTCTCTAAAGTATATAAATAAATCTTAAAAAAAAGAAAAAAAAGATGATATTACTAATTCATACAGAAACACCTGAGCATCTACAAGTCACACTGCGGGTGCCTGGGGGCAGCTGGCTGGCTCAGTCGGTGGAGCATGTGACTCTTGATCTCAGAGTTGTGAGTTCCAGCCCCATGATGGGCATAGAGTTTACTTAAAAAATCAATCAATTAATTAATAAAATAAAATAAAAGTCACTCTGACCAGGTTCCCAGAAACAATTCCAATATTCTCTAATAACTGCATTTTTTACAAGTTGGGAGCATCTTGATTATTGACAGGTATCAAAAAAAAAAAGCAAAATGTTACCTGGATGATCAATGATCTGGAGTCCCTTAAAGAGCCACCTGCTGTTTTAGATAATGGCTTTCCTTTTATTTTGCATTCTTTTGAAAATGTTTTCAAGGTGTCTTCAAATTCAGCAAAATCTAAATACTATAAAAAAGAACATGAATGTATATACAATTCTCTATTTTAACGTCAACAAAGCAACTATCTTTGATGTAATTGTACCAGCTCTAAGTTACCACCTATTTATAATGGGGTTAACGAACTGTCATCTTTGGGAGAATTCAGGATCCAGCTTAGAATTTACTTACTTGACACACATACCCAAAGCCTAGAAAGACAGTATCATAGAAAATGCTTATTTACAGAAAATAAATTTGCTTTCAGAAAGAAAATGTGAGCTGCATGATTCATGATCGTTGTTAATAGAAGCAAAAGGATGTGTGCAGCATTCTGACAAAGGCAGAAGTGATCCCCAGAAGGCCTGACGGCTTTGGGTCTGGTAGGTCGCTGGGAATTTGCCCTGAAACTGGCCCTGGAAAGAGTGCCTGTCCTTAAGAACAGAAGACCAGCCATTGAAAGACGGGCAACGTCATCACTGATCCTGGAGCATGGCACTCCTGCTCACCGCCCATCCTGGCCCCTCTCCTGGCCTCCTCTACCATGTACTCTACTGCTGTTCTCTCCTCCTCCTCAGTTTGTGGCAGTCACGTCTTTTGGTTTCCACCTCCTGGGCGCGGGCTCTTTCCCCTTTGCTGGGACGGCTTTAAGAATGTATTCATGACCACACCAACGAATTCCAAAGCTGTGTTTCCAGGGCAGGTGCCTTGCCCCACGGCCGTGGCTCACAGTGCCTGATGAACGGTTTAATCACAGACTAAAACAGGAGCAACAGTTTCTTGAGCATCAGCTATGTGCTTGCCCCACGCTAAAGGCAGTAGAGAATATAAAAAAGCCTAGGCTATGGGTCCTGTCCTTCAAAAGCTTTCAGTGTAGGAAACCTAAATGTCCATTAACAACAAGTTAAGTAGATACAGTGGCTCAGTGAAATATTCTACAGCATAAAAAGTATGAGGCAGATCACAGGAAGACGTTCACGCCACATTACTGTTGATAGAGAAAAGCCAAGCTTTAGCACAATGTACATGGCATCATTCCATTTTGTAAAACAAACCATAGACATGTAAATATATTTTGAATATTCATATAAAAAAAGTCTGGAAAACTAGACTAACCCGTTAACAGTGGTTCCTGCAGGAGTGGAGCGCAGGGAAATGAACTTTTTGTACTTCCACATTGTTTGAATCTTTACTGTGAGCATATGTTACTATTACAATTTTCTTTAAAGAAATTTTTTTCAAGTGGCTTTAAGATTTCAATTTAGTTATGAAAACAAAAAAATCATATAATGGAAAACAGGTAATTCTAATGTAAGGATAGAAAACACATTATAAGGCACTGTAAAATTTGCTGCATTGTAAAATACAAGTTTTCAAGATCTCTTTCTGTGACCCGTGTTTTGTAAAACATACCTCTTTCACAAGTCCAAGTAATTCTGATTCATGAGCCAGAACATCCCCCATATTGAACGGTTACTGTTAATTCTCACAGCAAAAATCTCTACAAGGCAAAAATAGAAGATAAAAGCTTTCATTTCAACCATCTGTGAAATCATAAAAAGGTGGCTGTGGTGGGCAGAATAAGGCCCTCATCCTAACCCCCAGAACCTGTGAATATGCTAGGTTGCATGGCAAGAGGGAATTAAAGTTACACACAGAATCAAGGTTGCTAATCAGCTGACCTTAAAATAGGGAGAGTATATATGATTATATGGTGGGCCCAGTGTAATCACAGGGATCCTTATAAGGAGGCAAGAGGGACAATGTCAGAATGATGCATCGCTTGCCCTGAAGGTAGAGGAAGGGCCCCAAGCCAAGGAATGAGTGCAGGCAGCCTCTAGATGTTCAAAAAGGCAAGGAACAGATTCTCCTCTGGAGCCTTCAGGAATGAACAAGCCCTGTGAACACCTTGATTTTAGCTCAGTGAGACCCATTTTGGACTTCTGACCTCCAGAACTGTAAATCTGTGTTGTTTTCGGTCACCAATTTTATGGTAATTTATCATACGGAAATACAGAGGCTAATGTTCAAAGTAATTCCTTCTTCTATGACAACTACTAAAATGAATATGAACACGGCCTAGAAGGTGGTGTAAATGAGCAGCGAGGACTGCCTCTTCTTATTTGGTACTCTAATGTGCCATAATGTGGTATGTGTAATTCAAACAGTCAAGACCACAAAGTGCATTTTAGAACAAAACAGAATTTGACAAGGTTCATTCATTTAAAGAAGGATATGCATTAATATTAATCTGATATAAATGAACACCAATTCCTCACTCTGCCTCCAAATAAAAACTAATCATTCACACAAAGATCTGGGATACTACTTATCTGCAAGAAATCTTTAATGTTTCCTGAAGACCATTATCATTTAGCCTTACAGTAATGGGGGAGGAAGTGGAGTGCATTTACACAGATGTTAGCACAAGGTCATGCACCAGGGAATGTATTAGGTCAGTCTTTGTTTTGTTTAGTTTAGAGAGAGAGAGCAAGCGGGGGGGGGGGGGGGGGGGCAGAGGGAGAGAATCTTAAGCAGGCTCCATGCCCAGCATGGAGCCCAACATGGGGCTCGATCTCATGACCCTGAGCTGAAATCAAGAGTCGGACGCTTAACCAACTGAGCCACCCAAGCACCCCATGGTTAGGTTTTTAATTACATTTAAGGATGCACAATATCTATATGTACATTTCCAAACATTTAAATAAGTAAAATATTGCAAACCTTTTAAAAACGTATTTTCTACTTTTTCTGTCCCCAGGTGCGCCCAAAGCAGCCACTCCCCGTGCCCCACTCCCAGGCTCTTCAGCCAGATGGACTGCCCATAACCCCAGGGGAATGAAAAACGTCTGGGCACTAATACTGACTGTGCCATTCACTGGCACCTGATCTGGGGCAAATCACTGAAACTCGGGGCCTCTTTCACCTACAAAGGAGAGTGGAGAACTGGTCAGATCTCTTCTAGTTCTAGGAACACATGATGCTGTAACATTACATTTTGATCTGCCCATTACAGTGGATTTGATTTCAATTATTTGAGCACAAGTCAGGAAGATTAAATGTAGTAATCTCCCCCTTTTCATTCTCTTGTCTGTCTCACCATCATCTTGTGGCTTCATCTCTCCCGAGGTTCGGTGACACAATCTCCCATCCCTTCTCTCTCCACTTCAATTTCTATCCTATTAACAAGTGATCTTGCCCTTCCTGCTTAGGACCCTCCTGTGGTTCCACCATCCTCCAGACGAAGGCCACACTGCTTAGGCCCAACTCTCAAAGGCTACACAACGTGGCCTCCCACACTCTCTCCTTTGTTCTGTTAACTTGACCCACAATGGCCACTGTGGGGCCGCACCACCAGAAGCCCATGTCACATGCCTGCCCTCTCTTGAGGACTTTGCACTTACTGCAGACACCCTCCAGACGTCCCCGTCTCCTTCAGGTCGCTTAAGTGTCACCCCTTCGGAGAGACTTGCCCTGATTACCCTTTGGATGGGGTCAGCCCCATCACTGCTTAGTCTTTTGTCCTGTTTTATTTTTCTCAAAAGCACTAACCACTACCTGACTTGCACATCCCCCCTGTAAACAGGAGAACACCCGTCCCCTGGCAGCCCCAGTGCCTAGGCCAGGGCCCGGCATGCTGGAGTTGCTCAAAAAGGAATGGTAGTAATTTCAGGTATGAGGAAAATAAAGCAAGGAAGGGGACAGAGCTTGGAGCAGAGGGGTCTAGGGTTATTTTAGAGAGTGGGGGCAGAGAAGGCCTCCCTGGGAACATGTGGGCAGAGATGTGAGGACGTGGGTATACCTCTGGATCTGGGGGGGAGGGATTTGCAGGTGCAGGGGCTGCAGAGTGTGGAGAGTGGTGAGAGAAGCCAAGCCAAGCAGACACTGGAGGCCGTGAGGTGCGGGGCCACGTCAAACAGGCCTCGTGTAAGCTAGCGGCCTGCATGTACTGGGAAGCCCGGACAGGGGGCTGTCAGGGGACTGCCACCACCCGATTTACAGTTCCCAACAGCAGGGTCTGCTGTGTGGGGGAGAAACTGAGGGGACAGAGCGGTAAGGAGGCCATGGCAAAGCCCGAGCTGCTGACGAGGGAAGTCTGGATGGGGAACAGGAAGCTTGTGAAGGGTTCGGCTTCCACATGTGAAAAGGAGAGGTGGCATGACCCACTGACGGACTGGAGGTGGGATGTGAGGGGAGAAGTGAAGGGCGACGCTGGGGCCTAGGCAGATGCCATTTGCTGAGGTGGGGGAATCTGGGGGGGCTGTCTGAGAGGCCAGCTCAAGAGTGCCATTCCAGCCATAAGTGTCACAGGCCCACGAGGCATCCGAGTGAGTGGGGTGCTGAGAAGGTCCGGTGCATGTGAGTCGGGAGTAAAGGGAAAGGCGATTTTCTCTTTCAACATTCCTTTGGCTATCTGGGGTCTTTTCTGGTTCCATACAAATTTTAGGATTATTTGTTCCAGCTCTGTGAAAAAAGTTGATGGTATTTTGATAGGGATTGCACTGAATGTAGAGCTTGCTCTAGGTAGCATTGACATCTTCACAATATTTGTTCTTCCAATCCATGAGCATGGAACGTTTTTCTATTTCTTTGTGTCTTCCTCAATTTCTTTCATGAGTGTTCTATAGTTTTCCAAGTACAGATCCTTTGCCCCTTTGGTTAGGTTTATTCATAGGTATCTTACAGTTTTTGGTGCAATTGTAAATGGAATCGACTCCTTAATTTCTATTTCTTCTGTCTCATTGTTAGTGTATAGAAATGCAACTGGTTTCTGTGCATTAATTTTTATATCCTGCCACTTTGCTGAATTCCTGTATGAGTTCTAGCAATTTTGGGGTGCAGTCTTTTGGGTTTTCCACATAAGAGTATCATGTCATCTGAGAAGAGTGAGAGTTTGACTACTTCTTTGCTGATTCGAATGCCTTTTCTTTCTTTTTGTTGTCTGATTGCTGAGGCTAGGACTTCTAGTACTATGTTGAACAACAGTGGTGATAGTGGACATCCCTGCCGTGTTCCTGATCTTAGGAGGAAAGCTCCCAGTTTTTCCCCATTGAGAATGATATCCGGTTAATGTTAAAAAAGAAAATCCAAGCTAGTGGCATCGCAATTCCAGACTTCAAGCTCTATTACAAAGCTGTCATCATCAAGACAGTATGGTATTGGCACAAAAACAGACACATAGATCAATGGAACAGAATAGAGAGCCCAGAAGTGGACCCTCAACTCTATGGTCAACTAATCTTTGACAAAGAAGGAAAGAATGGCCAATGGAAAAAAGACAGTCTCTTCAACAAATGGTGTTGGGAAAACTGGACAGCCACATGCAGAAGAATGAAACTGGATCATTTTCTTACACCATACACAAAAGTAGACTCAAAATGGATGAAAGACCTAAATGTGAGACAGGAATCCATCAAAATCCTAGAGGAGAACATAGGCAGCAACCTCTGTGACCTTGCCTGCAGCAACTTCTTGCTAGACACTTTTCCAAAGGCAAGGGAAACAAAGACAAAAATGAACTATTGGGACTTCAACAGGATAAAAAGCTTTTGCACAGCAAAGCAAACAGTCGACAAAACCAAAAGACAACTGACAGAATGGGAGAAGATATTTGCAAATGTCTTATGAGATAAAGGGCTAGTATCCAAAATCTATAAAGAACTTATCAAACTCAACACCCAAAGAAAAAATAATCCAATGAAGAAACGGTCAGAAGACATGGAACAGATATTTCTCCAAAGAAAACATAAAAAGGCCAACAGACACATGAAAAAATGCTCAACATCACCTGGCATCAGGGAAATACAAATCAAAACCTCAATGAGATACCACCTCACACCAGTCAGAATGGCTAAAATTAACAAGTCAGGAAACGACAGGTGTTGGCGAAGATGAGGAGAAAGGGGAACCCTCCTCCACTCTTGGTGGGAATGCAAGCTGGTGCAGCCACTCTGGAAAACAGTATGGAGGTTCCTCAAAAAGTTGAAAATAGAGGGGCGCCTGGGTGGCTCAGTTGGTTAAGCGACTGCCTTCGGCTCAGGTCATGATCCTGGAGTCCCTGGATCGAGTCCCGCATCGGGCTCCCTGCTTGGCAGGGAGTCTGCTTCTCCCTCTGACTCTCCCCCCTCTCATGTGCTCTCTCTCATTCTCTCTCTCTCAAATAAATAAATAAAATCTTTAAAAAAAAAAAAAAGTTGAAAATAGAGCTACCCTAGGACCCAGCAATTGCACTACTAGGTATTTACCCAAAAGATACGAATGTAGTAATCCGAAGGGGCACCTGCACCCCAATGTTTATAGCAGCAATGTCCACAATAGCCAAACTATGAAAAAAGCCCGGATGTCCACTGACAGATGAATGGCAGATAAAGAAGATGTGGTATATTATATACAATGGAACACTACTCAGCCACTAAAAAAATGAAATCTTGCCATTTGCAACGACGTGGATGGAACTAGAGGATATTATGCTAAGTGAAAGAAGTCAATCAGATAAAAACAATTATCATATGATCTCATTCATATGTGGAATTTAAGAAACAAAACAGAGGAACATAAGGGAAGGGAGGGAAAAATAAAACAAGACGAAATCAGAGAGGGAGACAAACCATAAGAAGCTCTTTTTTTTTTTTTTTAAGATTTTATCTATTTATTTGACAGAGAGAGAGAGAGAGACACAGCGAGAGAGGAAACACAAGCAGGGGGAGTGGTAGAGGGAGAAGTAGGCTTCCCGGGGAGCAGGGAGCCTGATGTGGGGCTCGATCCCAGGACCCTGGGACCATGACCTAAGCTGAAGGCAGACACTTAACTGACAGAGCCACCCAGGCGCCCCAAGAGGCTCTTTTTTTTTTTTTTTTTTGACAGAGAGAGACACAGAGAGGGAGGGAACACAAGCAGGGGGAGTGGGAGAGGGAGAAGCAGGCTTCCCGCCGAGTAGGGAGCCTGATGCGGGGCTTGATCCCAGGATCCTGGGATCATGACCTGAGCCGAAGGCAGTCGCTTAACCAACTGAGCCACCCAGGCGCCCCGAGGCTCTTAATCATAGGAAACAAACTGACGGTTGCTGGAGGGGAGAGAGGTGGGGGGATGGGGTAACTGGGTGATGGACATTAAGGAAGGCACGTGATGTAATGAGCACTGGGTGTTACATAAGACTGATGAAGCACTGAACTCTACCTGTGAAACTAATAATACATTATATGTTAATTAACTGAATTTAAATTTTAAAAAAAGGAAAGGTGGGAGCTGGATGTAAGCATTTGGAAACTGTCAGCATAAAGATAGCATTTCAGGAGACAAGGATCCCAAACAGACCAGGACTCCTAAGGAGAAGGCGTAGCAGAGCAGAGCTCAGGCCTGTGCCTAAACCCTGGAGCACTCGGGGACTGAGGGCTCAGGGAGAAGAGAAGAAGCCAGCGAGAGATGAAGCCAAGAGCAGTGACTTATCGGTGGGACACAACCAGGAGACTGTGGAACCTGGAAGCCAAGGACAGTGTTCCTCACATCAACTGTGACTACACATGGTTGAGTAAAATGTGGGCAGAAGACTTGAGCCCTGGATTTGGCAACAGGGAGTTTGACAGTGACGTGGACAAGAGCAGTGAAGAGAGGCACCTGACTGGAAAGGGTTAAAGAGAGGAAGAGAAGTCACAAAGGAGGGACAGGGAGATCTGTCACAAAAAGGGGAGGAGAGATCGAGTGGTGGCTAGAAAGATATGGGAGGTTTTTTAAGGAGGAAGATATTATAAACAGTAGGTTTGTTAAGTTGATGGGAAGGACCCAGTTAGAGAAGGACAAATTGAGGCAGAAGAGAGGAGATGGTCAAAGAAGCAAGGTCCCTGCCGCGTCCAGTGTCCAGCTGGAGGGCCTGGCCCTAGATAGGGTGGGGACAGTCCATCCCCTGTCACGGAGGGAGGGCAGAGGAGATGGGTCCGTACCATCTCCTGGAATCTGTCCAAAGAAACGGACAGATTCAGCGATGAGTAGAACAAGAAACAAGGTCATCAGCAGTAAGAGGCCTGTTGATAGCTGGAAGAGAAGAGAAGGCGGGAACCAAGCTGACTAAGGACCAGGGCAGGATTTCCAATATCGAGAGTCTGCTTAAGATACATGGATTCAAATCCAAAATGGAACCAGTCTGCATAATTCTGCAGTTTCTCCAGCCACTTCCAGCTGTCTGAGTTAGGTTAGCCAAGGTGAGGTTTTTCCAGAAGACAGGGGAAAGAGAAAACAAGTATAACAGTGATGGAGCAGTGGGGCCGAAGGAAGGGAGGTGCATGGGGGGTTCTAGGGCAGTGAAAAAGCAACAGGCTCAAACACCTGCTTAACGAGGCATGGCACCTAAGATCTGCTTCTGAGGCACATTGATGGGAGCTTGAAAAAGTGTGATCAGAGCAGAATGGGTGCTTGAGTTTAGAGATGATGCAGCAGTAAAACGTTCATGACCATGGGAGTGGTGGATAAAAAGAATGGACAAAAGAGATGCCTAAAAGATGAAACCGGAGCGAGCAGCCAGGACGGTAACATCTCCAGAACTGAAGTAGAGGAGGTGGAGGGGCAGACAGGGAGCCAGGCGCTACAGGCTTCACGGGGTAACAACTGCACCCCTGCTAGGTGACAGCCTCAAGGAGGGGTGGCGAGTGGTAAAGCCCAGAGCATGCACTTCAGAAGAGGTGCAGGTGCTGAAGCAGGGAGGCAGTGGTCTAGACGTAGCAGGGAGGACAGGACGCCTACCCTTCCTGGCACCTGCAGTCCTGCCAGATACACAAGGAGGAGAAAGACCGCCTACTGTTGGGGACCACCATCTCTGCAGCCCTTCTCTGGACCCACACCACCCCTGCCCCTCTCCCCCTTCCCCACATCAGGCCCACCAGTGGTAAACCCTGGGCATTCCCCGGTACCACATGCTCTTTCACAACTCCAAAACTTCTGTTTGATATACACGCCCCATCACAAACTTGACACATCATGCTAACTTAACCCTGAATTGACCTCCTTCAGGAGGTCTCCCAGGAACCCCTCCCCTTCCTTCCCTATCAAGGCTATTCTCCCTCCTCTGGGGTACCTCTGAACTCTACATTTACTTCTACTGCTACACTTATTACCCTGTTTACAAAGGCAGTGAGGTGGATTTAAATGTGATCCCTCCAGGGGCACCCGGGTGGCTCAGTTGGTTAAGCATCCAACTCTTGATTTCAACTCAGGTCATGATCTCAAGGTCGTGAAATAGAGCCCCGTGTCTGGCTCCACGCTGGGTGTGGAGCCTGCTTAAGATTCTGTCTCTCCCTCTCCCTCTGCTTCTCCCCAAGCCCCCCACCACTCACGCACTCTCTTTCTCAAATAAATAAAAATAAACAAATTTGATCCGTCCAGAACCTAACAGAGTCTGCTAGGCATGATAGACACCCAAGATATTTACAAATAAATGAAGTCCAAGCACAGAGAACAGCATTTTTTTTGAAGGTCCTAGAACAAGAAAACTTTGTTGTTTTTGAGAACTCAAGCTCCTTCCTACCTCGGGGCCTTTGCACATACTCTTCTCGCTGCTTGCAACATTTTCCTCCTCTTTCTTCACCTGGCTAACCTCTGCGCTTAATAAACATCACTTCCTCGGAGAAGTTCTTCAAGACCATCATTTGAATAAGATTCTACTGTGATGGTCTCTCCGTGAATGTGAGCCACTGTTGGGTATTCTATTACTCTGACATACTTAGAATTTTCTCTAAACCTTTGTATCATAAAAGCTCATTTATTAAGAATTTTTGTATGCCAGGCAATGTGCAAAATGCTTCACATTTAATTTTCACAATACACCTGAGAGATGAATATTATTTACATTCTTTTACAGATGAGGCAACTGAGGCTCAAGAAGCCTGAGGTGCTCCAAATAATCCAGCCAGTAAATGACAAAAGTCAGAATTTAAATCCAGACCGACATTAACCACTACACAGCATTACCCCAAATGCTGGGACCACCTCAATCAGAATCCGCTTGTGCAAATGAAATTCCTAGAACCACCCTGATCCTACTGAACACCGCGGCAGGCACGATGCCCAGAAATTGCTTTAAACAAGCTCTCTTTTATGCACGCTCAAGTTTGAGAACCACTGCTCTACTTTGCGCAAAAACTAGAGAAAACTTCTTCAGCCACTCTTGCGGGTTGCCGTGTGGCGGCTTCTTATTTTCTATATAAAGGGCTTTAGGACCTACAAGCTGGCTAAAGGGAAGGCTATGGGGTTTGTCTGGAAGACGAATTTGCATGGCTAGGATCCTAGTTTTGCTTAGACTGGATTAAGTCTGGGGAGGTTGGCTGATGCAGATAACCGAGGGGCTGTATCTAAAAGCCCCAGGCTACCCGCTCACGCCGTCACTACCCAGCTGGACGACTTGCGCCCCCCTCCAAGTCTGGCCCACTGCGGCCCAGATCAGGGACTACTTGCGGGAAGCAGCTGGGCCTGTCCTCGGTTTGTCCAGGAGGCCGCCTCGGGCCCACGCCAGCGTAACAGCCCAGGGCGGCAGAGCAGAAGCGGGGGCGTTCGGCAGCGGCTGCCAAGCTGGCTTTTCTCCGGGGCGAGGGCTCCACACATCTTGGGCCCTCGGGCCCCACCACAGCCCCTTCCCGCCCGCGGGCTGCGGGTGCCCGGGCAGCCCGACCGCGTCGGAGGACACGCTTACCTGCTGCACGGCCGCGGGCACGCTCCCTTAACCGGCTCGGCCGCCACTGATCCAGCTGTCGCCCCGGCAACCGCCGCCGCCAGCCCGGCGTCACGTGGGGGCGGCGCAGCCAATCACGGGACGCGCCGGCGCGGAGCATCCTGGGAGGAAAGGCGGGCTCTTTGGGAGCAGGAGCTGCGAGGCTTCCTGGCGGCGGAAATGGAGCCGAGGTTTGCCTTGCAGTGGGTTCTGCGGGTTGCATCCTGCGGGGAGCCTTCCCGGTCTTCCTCTCCACGACTTCCCACTCGTTCATTCCACAGACATTGCGCCCGGCGCTGTGCCCGGCTCTGGGGATGAGCCGGCCGGGCGCAACACCTAACCTCAAGGAGCTCGTTCTATCCCAGGGAAAACAAAAGCGGCAAGAGATTACAGTATAGGGTGGTGTTCGTGGGAAAATACGTAGGCGTTGTTATTCTCGCTTTACAGGAGCGACCCAGAGCTACCTTAGAACCAACAATGTCGCCCAGTTCAGACTTCCACCCCACTGCAGCAGTTTCCCGGAATTTTAGAGAAACGCGCCCCCCTCCCCGTGAAATTTGGCTTTTCAAATAAAACAGGACCACAGATCCTCCCTCTCCTTGTACATGGTGCTTTGGAGCTTAAATTAAACAGCACTGAAAGAGCACCTGCCAGTCCCCAACTCAGCTGGAGGTTGGGAGGTGGCTAGAGACAGGACCTTCCTTCCAGGCACTGAGGCTCTGTAGTGGGAGTCTCTGTTTCCACTTCATGCTTCCAAAAAGGTGACCAAGGCCAGAGTCAGGGAAGAGAGTATGGAGAAAGCAGGTGAGCTTTACTTTGAAGAAGCCCTAAGATGGTCTGTGGCCACCATCTCTCCGGCCCCCAGCCCTCCCAGTTCTCTTCTGGGACTTGAGATTATCTTCAAACAAAAGTTGTATTTATCAGGAAGAGAAATCCTGTCTTTGGGATATGTATTGAAGATAAATCTCCCTGTTCCCAATAATAAGTTAACGTTTGACACCTCAGTGTGTGCCAAAGGTTGCCAGACAAAATAGAACACTTAAATTTGAATTTCAGATAAGTTTTTAATAATAAGTATATTCCAAATCCAAATATTGCCTTATTTTATGCCACATACAGGACATTATATTGTCCTGTATTTTTACTGGCTGAATATGGCAACCATGTGTGTGCCCAGCACTGTGCTAAGTGATTACATAGATTATTTAATTCACATCACATCGATGAACTGGATATTATTTTCAGCATTTTAGAGATTAACAGTGTTGTACTTGACCTGAGGTAATGTACGTGATGATGTCTGATCTGGGGTGCTCTCCCTATTGCCATAACCTGAATAAAAATCAGTCTCCTTACTTGTCCCGGTCCCTGGTCTTTGACAAGATAAATAACATGAGGTACAGAGAAGTTAAGAACTCAGAGATCACATAGCTGGGGAGTGGTGGTGGCACCAGGATTGAATCTAGGTGCTCGTGCCTTTGAACCCCGGGCTCTTAGCTACAATAAAAACCACTCCTGGGGCACCTGGGTGGAGAGGTTGATTAAGTGTCTGCCTTCAGCTCAGGTCGTGAGATTGAGCCCCACGTCGGGCTCTGCGCTCAGCACGGTGTCTGCTTGAGATTCTCCTTCTCCCTCTGTCCCTCCCACTCATTCTGTCTCTCTCTCTCTCTCTTAAAAACAAAACAAAACACCGCTCCTGCTTTGCTTTGTCTTCTGAGTGCACTTGCCTGACTGCCAGGATTATGGTCATTGCGGTGGCTATTATCTTTTTCTGCCCATCACCTCTCTCCCTCCTGGTAACACGCCTGACCACAGGGATGGGCACACAGCCAGGAATGGACTAATCTTACCCTAGCCCTCTGGCCACAGTGATTGGCCCAGGATGAGTATGTGATTCAAGCTGAGCCAATGAGAAATTTACCTTGGGATTTTTCTGTTGAAGTATGTTCAGATCATTGTAAAATGAGACTCCAGGGCAGCCTGGTAACCATGTCCTTTATCACATAAAAAAGCCTGAGAAAATGAAGCTGTCACCCAGAGGGATGCAAAGAAAGCATGTTGGGGGCATCAAATCCCTGGGCGGGGACTCTGAGTTCCGTGGAGCTGCTCTCATTCCTGCAGCCGCTCCGTCCTTTGTGTAAGCTACACCCCCCTCCCCAGCATCCCTCCAATTAACCATCTTTTTTATTGAAATGGATTCAAGTTGGGTTTCTGTCCCTTCCAACCCAAAGAATCCTATTGCAGACATAGTTTCTATAGATGTCGTACCAACTAAAAGTGGCTTCAACAACGGGGTTTATTATTAATTAAAAAATATTACATTGGGGCGCCTGGGTGGCTCAGTCGGTTAGGCGACTGCCTTCGGCTCAGGTCATGATCCTGGAGTCCCGGGATCGAGTCCCACATCGGGCTCCCTGCTAGGCGGGGAGTCTGCTTCTCTCTCTAACCCTACCCCCTCCTGCACTCTCTCTCTAATAAAAAAAAAAAAAAAAAATCTACGGGGCACCTGGGTGGCTCAGTCGGTTGAGTGACTGCCTTCGGCTCAGGTCGTGATCCTGGAGTCCCGGGATCGAGTCCCGCATCGGGCTCCCTGCTCAGCGGGGAGTCTGCTTCTCTCTCTAACCCTACCCCCTCCTGCACTCTCTCTCTAATAAAAAAAAAAAAAAAAAATCTACGGGGCGTCTGGGTGGCTCAGTCGGTTGAGCGACTGCCTTCGGCTCAGGTCGTGATCCTGGAGTCCCGGGATCGAGTCCCGCATCGGGCTCCCTGCTCGGCAGGGAGTCTGCTTCTCCCTCTGACCCTCTTCCCTCTCATGCTCTCTGTCTCTCATTCTCTCTCTCTCAAATAAATAAAATCTTTAAAAAAAAATGTTACATTAATTTTTCTTGTAATAAATCCAGAGATAGCTTCTTACGGGTACGTCAAGTTGTCAAAGACCTAGGTTGGTTTTGCACTTGTAACATCTTTGTGACTATGGATGATACTGGAACAAGTAGCTATAACTTGATGAAGTTAGTAAATAAACTGCTATCTTTTAGTTATGGTTTAAGAATTCCTCCAAATCCTTGAACATATGTGTGATACAAGCATTAAATTGGAAAATAATCTCTAAATGAAACTCAGTATATTTAACCCATTTGATATGTCCTGGTGGAGGGACAAAGAATACTTTCGTCACAAAGCAAACTGCTTCCGTCCGAAGCTTCATCTGGGCTCCGCTCTGTACATCCATAAGCTCCCAGCAGTACACTGACCCAACTGCCTCTCCCTCCCAGTTCTTAGGCTTACCAAAGCACCCCGTTGGTTTTTGCTTGACAAAGTGCCAATGGACCCAAAATGACTTTCTAAAATGTTTAAGTATGAAAATTTTAAACATTTGCAAAAGTAATTCATTTAATAAATCCCCGTAAACCCATCACTCAGATTCTAGGATTATCAAAATCTTGCTGCTGGGAAAAACTCAACCCCAAATTCAATTCTTGAAATATACACAGTACTTCCGGGGACCTAACCAGGCTTTCCCTGGAAATAAAAGGGACTGGCTGAGTTCTGCATTCAAGGGACAAATCTGAATCTTATGCAGTTGACAGCCTTCTATGGGCCTCAGCCCTTGAGCACCTTGCGGATGGGAGGCCATGCATCTCTGTGGCATGCTTTATAGTTCTTTTTGGTTTTTTTTTCAGTTTTAAACATTTTAATTTTTTATTGATTTATAATTGATATACTAGATAGTGATTCGATATTTTTATACACTACAAAATGCTCACCACAATAGGTCTAGTTACCATCTGTCCTCATACAAAATTATTGCAATATTAAAAAAAAATTTTTTTTAAGTAATCTCTATACCCAACATGGGGCTTGAACTCACGACCCTGAAGTCAAGAGTCGCATGCTGTATTGACTAAGCCAGCCAGGTGCCCTAAAGTTACTACAATATTATTGATTATATTCTCTATGCTGTAAATGACATCCCTCTTACTTAATTTATAACTGGAACTTTGTAGCTCTTAATCCCCTTCACCTGTTTGGCCCACCCCCCCCCTCCATCCCCTTGGGCCACCACCAGTTCGTTCTCTGTATCTATGAGTCTGTTTCTGTTTTGTTCTGTTTCTTCATTTGTTTTGTTTTTTTAGACTCCACATAAAAGTGAAATCATATAGTATTTGTCTTTCTCTGTCTGACTTATTTTGCATAATACCCTCCAGGTCCATCCATGTTGTCGCGAATGGCAAGATTTCATTCTTTTTTATGGCTGAGTAATATTCCATTGTGTATACATACACACACACACACCACCTCTTTATCCTTTCATTTATCAATGAAAACTTAGCTTGCTCTATTTCTTGGCTATTGTAAATAATGCTGCAATACAGATAGGGGTGCATTTATCTTTTCAAATGAGTGTTTTCATTTTCTTCAGATAAATACCCAGAAGTAGAATTGCTGGGTCATATGATAGTTCTATTTTCAATTTTTTGAGGAACCTCCAATGTACAGTTTTCCATGGTGGCTGCACTAACTTACATTCCCACCAACAGTGCATTTGGGTTCCCTTTTCTCCCTGCCAACATTTGTTATTTCTTGTCTTTTTGATAATAACCATTCTGACATATGAGGTGATAGCTCATTGTGGTTTTGATTTGCAATTCCCTGATGATGAGTGATGTTGAGCATCTTTTGCTGTGCCTGTTGACCATCTGGATGTCTTCTTTGGAAAAATGCCTATTCAGGTACTCTGCCCATTTTTTAAAGGATTTTATTTATTTATTTGAGGGAGAGAGAGAGAGAGAGTATGAGTTGGGGGGTTGGGGGCAGAGGGAGATGGAGAGAGAGAATCTCAAGCAGACACCGTGCTGAGCGCAGAGCCAGATGCAGGCATGATCTCACCACCCTGAGATCATGACCTGAGCTGAAATCAAGAGTCGGATACTTAACCGACTGAGCCACCCAGGCGCCCCTCTGCCCATTTTTTAATAGGATCGTCTGCCTTCTTATTATTGAATTGTAAGAGTTCTTATATATTTTGGATATCCACCCCTTGTCAAGTTTGTAAGTATCTTCTCCCATTCTGTAGGTTGCCTTTTTGTTTTGTTAATGGTT